CTTCTCCTGCTGTTGCTGCTGTTGTTGCTGCTGCTGCTGTTGCATAGCAGTGCGCAGCTCCTGATCGAGCTGCATCAGCTCCTTTTTGCCTTGCAATATATTTCGCAGCATGTGATGTGCAACCAAATCGTGCTGCAACTGCTGCTGCTGCTGCTGTTGCTCGTGCGTGTTGCTGGCGCCACCGTTCAACGAACTCACCGAAGCAGCACGCGGCGGCGAGCCACCAGCAACATCAGATGCTGCTGCTACTGCCGCTGCCCCAATATTTCCATCCAGCGATCGATCGCTGCTGTTCGACACACGGCGACTGTTGCCGCCTTTGGGCGTCGAGGAATGCGCCGATCCTGGCGATATCGAGGCATTGATATTGTTGCCATTGCTGAGCGGTATGTTGTTGTTGTTATTGTTGTTGTTATTGAGCAATTTACTGGTATTAAGACTGTTGACCAGCCCGGCCGCACTTAGCAGCTCGGCACTGGTGGCCGTCTCCATGGCTGCTGCCAACATTGCATTGTCCAGAGTCTGTGGCAGCCCACTGGTGGCATCCTGTGCCTGCTTCATTTGCCGCCCGAACAGCTCGTTTAACATTTTCGCCGAGGAGCCGCCAAAGAGATTGCCAAAGGCTGCCGTCAGCAGCGATGAAGCGGAGTTCACGGAGCCCGGCGAACTGCAGCCGGATAGAGCTGTAGCTGATGTTGTTGTTGCTGGTGTGGCAATTGTTGTTGCAATTGGACTTGGGTTTGAGTTGTTTGTGTTGCTGTTAATGTTGTTGCTGTTGTTAGTGTAGAGTGCACCACCAGCGGCACCCGCAGTAGCCGCAGCAGCGCTACTCATGAAGGCAGCGGTTGCCGTTGCGCCGCCGTTGCTGCAGCTATTATTGTTAACACTATTACCAACACTGTTACTGTTTAAATTACTATTACTGTTACTGATATTGCTGCTGTCTTTGCTCAAGGATCGCGTGCGCGTGCGACGATTTCTCACTAAGCTCGCTGTCGATGTCGAGTTCGTGTTGTTGTTGCTGTTGCTACTGTTACTACAATTGTTGGCAACTTTGGTTGCTGTCGGCGCTGTAGTCACTGGTTTTTTAGCCGCGCACGTTGTTGTCTTGTCGACGGCCGTTGACTGACTGATTTGTCGTTTGTGTGCGTTGCGGCGACTACTACGACTGCGACTGCGACTGCGGCTGCGACTGCGACGGTTACTGTTGGCTGGCGCTACCGCCGCTACAGTCGTCGTCGTCGTCGCCTTGCAGTTGCCTTCGATTACGACGACGTCGTCCGAGTCAGAGTCGCCCTCGTCGTTGTCGTCGTCGTCCGAATCGCTGCTGCCTTTGCCTTTGCAATGCTTCTCCGCTTCGCTAGCGTTTTCGCCGCAATTCGCCGCGTCGTCGCTACCGTTTATTTGTATTGGTGTATTTGTGAGACTGTTGCCGTTGCCGTTGCCGTTTCCGTTGCTTGCCTGTAGAGGCTGCAGTGTTGTTGGTGGTGGCAGGGCAATCGCTGCGCTCTTCGCCTGCTGTGGGGGTTGCAGCTTACACTCAGCTTCAGCTTCCAATGATGTTGTTGTTGCCGTCGCCTTCAGCAGCACATCGTTCTCATCGCTGTACAAACCAAAACAGTCCGCGTCGTACTCCTCTGATGACATCATAAGATGATGCCAAACAGCAGCAGCAGCCCGCACTCGCCTCTCCACGTTGCCTCTCCGTCGCCTTCGCCGCGTTACTCTCTAGCACTGTCAGTTGCGCTCTCACAGCGTCGGGCACACACATGCAGGAAGCCTCTTCTCCTGCTAGCGAAACGCGAGAGCGATTACTTCGCCTTGGCTTCGATTGGTTGTTAGCGATGTTGTCGGCACTGTCGTGTCGCCTTCTCCTTCTCCTTCTGTTCCTCTCCTCAATTGAGTGTAGTAATTCGCCGCTGTTGCGCTCAGGCGGCGTATGCGTAATTTCAAGTTTAAGTCTTCTCAGTGGTCCGATCTGTAATCTTTTACTTTATCTTCTGCTTGCCGGTTGTATGTAGGTCCGAGTTATCGATGTGTGTGTGCGTGAGTCTCTGTGCGCGTGTGTGTGTGTATTTGCTATGCTTCAAAACTTTCTAGCTGACCCGAACTGCTGGTTCTTTTCTTCTGATTACTTATCCTTAGAACGGGCTAGCTCTATATATCTGTTTCTCCCTCTTACTCGCTTTTGATGTCTTCGTTTAGTTGCGCCGAACGTTGAAATTTTGCTTTCACTCAACTTATTTGTCGAAATGTTACAATTCAAAATTGTTCGCGTTGTTGTTGACAGTTTGTTGCAGTTGCAGTTCCAATTGTTGTTGCTGTTGCTGTTCCTGCTGTTGCTTTTGCTGCTGTTGATTTTGCGTCTACGTTTTCTACGTTTTTTTCTGCGTTTTCTAATTGTGAATTTTGTTTTGAATTTTCGTTCCACCACCACACACATGCGAATGTCCTTTGCATTTAATGTTGTTTAAATTTGTTTTGATTTCGTTTTCTCTTCTTGTTAAGGTCTTCGTTTAATTTTTGTTCTTTTTCTTGTCCTTTGCGTATTTTGTTTGTCGTTAGGTTTCGCTTTGATATATAATTCTCCAAAAGTGTTTTTCGGCTTCTTTTGTCGAGAACTTGCGTAGAAATTTGTTCGTTTTCGTTTTGTTTTGTTTTTGTATTTTTGTTTTTTAAGTTTTTGTTTTTGTTTTGGCTTTCTTTTTGTTGTTGTCTTGAATAATCGTTGCTTGCGCTCAAAAAGTGTTTCTGCGAATATAAAAGATGAAGTCGCAAAAACCTTGCTAAATAAAAATACCCAAAAATTTTTACATAAACAAGCAATTTAATTGCGAAAAACAGAGCGAGATGGTTGCCTAAGGGCTGAGGGCTCAAGGGGAGGATGGGAGGGAGTGTTGGGGTTAGGAGTTGCGTGTGAGAGTGGGGGTGTTTAAATGGAAAGTAAAAGTGGCGCACCGAAAGCTTTTGGTTTGGGTGGCCACTTGATTGGTTGGTGCTTGGTTACAGTTGGGGGTTGGCTCTGCTCGCCTGGCCTTTGCCCTTGCCTCATCTGTATGGGCAGAGGGATGTAGCTGGAAGCTGTATATCTAAGTAAAAGTGAGTGTGTGTGTGTGTGTGTTGTGCTTAGTCCTTAATTCAGCTAAATACAACCCTTTGGCCTTTTGCAAACAGCGACAGGTTTTTATCTAATTTCTCCACTTGAGCTTATTTAGCTGGCGATTTCTTTTTGTGTCTGCGTGGCACACTCCATCGCCCCTCATTCCATCACCCTCGCCCTGCCCCCCTCATCCACACAATTATCATTTACCATATACGTGAACAATAAATAGAGATAACGTGTGTTATATGTTCGCTGATAAACAAGTTTGACTTACTTTCGGCACAGCTACAGATACTTCTATGCACAGATACACAGATACTTTTGCGTGCGGCCAACGAAATGAATGCGTAAGCACACAAAATAATCAATAAGAGAACTTTGGAACTGGGAAACTTTCGGCCAGCACATAATGCCGATTTAGGGGCGTTTCTAGACTCGAATTTCGTATCTATAAGTAGGTGTACTCAATATCTAAATGTCTTTGTCTTCCCTAGAGGTATTTATGATGATTAAAAATAATATTTAAATAAATTGAAAATTGTCTCAAATTTGTTTAGTAATAAAAGTCTAGTTTTCAGCTAAATCACGATTATTAAAAAAAAAAAAATTATTAAAATTTGTATAAAGTATTTAGATTATTGGCAAATTAAATTATTTAATAGCTCACTAAACGCTACATAAATAGCATATTTAAAAACATGTAAATAATAAACTTGAAAATTAAGTGAGTAATTTAAGAAATTTGATTTAATATCTGATGTTTATTTTGATAAATGGAAATGCAGCTCGCATAAGTTTGTTAAGTTCTTCAGAAATATAATTTTACGATTCAAGCCTTAATAGCTCGCATTGTCTGTAGTTGAAGAAAGCGGGTTTCATTCAGGGTAGTCGTGGCTGTATTTGTATAAATGCCATATGCAGTTTTCCAAGAACCGAATCCTCCCCTACGGGAGGCGCCGTTTTAAAGCATTGCCATGACAACAAACTCGCGTTTGCCATCTAATTGCATTGGAATGCAGTTCTCCAGGCAGAGCAGAGCTGAGTGAAGCAACTAACCAACCCGCCCGTTGCCCAAGTCAATGTCAACAAAACTACGTCCAACCCCACCCTTATGTGTGTCCTGCTCCTTGTTGTCCCTCTGTCCCTATGACTGTGCCTGTGCCTGCGCCTCTACCTCAAAGCAACTGTACTTAGCAAGCGTGCAGCTTGCAAGGCAACGGTAAAGAGCCACCCCTATATTACTATATGGTGGTATATCAAGGATCAAACTTGGGCTTGGAACATTGGGATATTAGGCTAGTAGCAGCACAAATGCCGCTGCACTCGCAGATCTTTCGTCAATATATATGTATATATGTATTTTCAAAAATATTTCAGTCGAAGATTTACCACAAACAAAGCGTTATTATTTTTCTCCGTCGTTCATCATAGATCCTCCTGCAATAGATAGAAAGCATAGTAAAAATTTGTTAATGATTCTGTCTGAAATATATGTATGTACTTAACTAGTTATCTTATCAAAAGTTCAATGCACTTAATGCAAACGGTTTCTTCGTCTAACAACCCTTAGAACCCGACTCAAAACATATGGCCCATTTCATAGTTGAGATAGAGCAGTAAGGATCAAGGAAAGTTACTTCCCTATGAAGTAGCCCACCTACGTACGATAACGAAATATCAAACGCCAGCAGCGCTCATAATTACAGCCTTAACACATTTCTATAGACACTCTGTCGACGGGTCCTTGTTCATTGCTTTGCCAAGCGGGCGGACGTACAGAATGTATGTATGTATGAATGAATGTACGAATTTCTTTGTAGAGAGTGTTTGAAGATGAAAATGTATTGAATGAACTATAAGAAAAAATTTTTTTAAATTATTTGAATTTTTTTTTATCAAGAAATATTTTTAAATGTTTTTTGTTTTTTGACAAGTATAAAAGCTTGTTATTTTTTATTTAGTTAAAAAATATTCAAACATTTTTTGATAGTTATTAAAATTTTATATGCATTTTAGAAGTATTTCAAAATATTTCTTGATTTTAATTTAGATTTAAAAAAAAAAGAAGTATATATGTATATATATTTGTTAATCGAAATTTATAAAAGGTAATTAGTGGCACAATTTTTTGCTAATAATTAAAAAATAAAACAGATTACGTTTTTCTTTTATTGTTACCGATTATTATAGAATTATTGATTAATAATGAATGAATTATATATATCGAGCCGAAATTAAATTTATTAGTGATAATAAAACCAACAAAGTATATATTCTATCTGTATACCATATGGTAAAATCAACTAAATAGTTTCTTTATATATTTTCCAATTTTCTTATGACATATATTTTGATTGTACATTTGAAATCTATGCTGCAGCCTCGTCCAAGTTTTTGTCCTTAAATATTTTACATATACACTCTCTTTGTTTCTACTTTTAAAACCAGACCACAGCTCATACGTGGCATGCACACACGCAGACACACACATCAAAACACATATACACCAAACAGTTGTATCGTGTGCTAGGCGAATGTATCTCAAAGTGTGCTTTGGAATGTGCCTTCACAGATCGCGGCACACGGTAATGTACCCATCATATCTGCCGACTGCCTACAGTCAGCTACCTACAAAATGTATAAAGTGTGGCATGGCCATGTGTTCTCCTGCCCAACCCCTCCTGCATTGGTCGTTGTTTTAGCCGGGTGTCATCATTAAAATATGCTTTGGCTCAAGTTGGGCTAGCTGGTTCGGCTACACTGCTGGCGACACTTGGACACTAAAGTGGACGCAATTGCGTTACGGTCAACTGACTTTAAAATCCGTTAAAAAGTTTAGAACAGCACCGAACAAAAATATGACAGCGCATGGCCCAACAGTTAGATAGATAGATAAATAGATAGATAACTGAAATTAGTGACCATTTGCGACTTGTGTTAGAATCTCGCTACAAAAAAGGTTCAACTGTAACTTCAGCTAGCTGCTCAAACTGGCAAAAATCACAGCACCATAGTGAGAGAAAGAGAGAGCGATAGTGTGTAGAGCTCTGTCTTGTGAATGCAACCCTCTGAAAGATCGACCCGTATGCGAGTTGTGAGGCACAGCTGATGACGATGATGATGATGATCGCAATCATGATCGCATGACAGGCAACAACAACAGGAATGAGTACGTGCCATAACTTGCAGCCACGAGCCGAGTGCACACCTGGACACAAAGAGGGACTCTAACTCAAACTCAGCTTCGACTCGGTCTCGACTCTCGCTCTATGGCTCTATGCCTCAATGCGCGTGCCCACAAGCTGCTGACGATCGCAGGAAGGAAGCAGCAAGCAGCGAACAGCCCAAAGGGGCGTTTTGCCTTCTGCCTGGTGGTGGTATTTGACATTTCAAAACAGAGATAGGGCGTAGAGAGAGAGAGAGAGAGAGAGAGAGAGCGAGCGAGGTAGAGGAAGACTGGCTGGGTTCCGATTTCGTAGCATTACCTGAGAAGTGAAATGCTGTTGTCGTTTTCGTCTGTTAGTTCGTTGGGTTTTGCGGAAGTTGTCGATCGCCTGGAAAGTTGGAAAAACACCTTTCAACTTGTTTGTGATAATTGCAAAACAAAAGCCAAGCACAAACCCGAAACCAACCCACTGCCATCGTTAGCTAATCCTGAACGCAAAAGGACATTAAAATTATATTCACAAACTTTGCTAGTTGTTGCAGGAGAATTGCCAAACAACTTTGTGGCACAATTCAAGCGAAAATTATGCTAAAAGAAAATGTCCTTTATGGCGGCAAAGATTTTAATGTTTATGCGAAAAGTTTACCGTTAAGTCGGCGAAAGGCATTTGCCATAAACCCCAACTATTACAATAGGGTTAAAACTGTATCCTGTCTGTGCATCTGCTAATCGAGCTATTTGTCTGGATTGTATTTCATTTATTTTCTAGGCTCCTTGACTTGCTGCCTCAGCTCTGTGATTGGCTGATAAGATAGAGAGGCGATAGTGCTGACTACATGAAAATACTTTTATAATCGCGATACCAATTTAGTCGCCATATGGCGAACTCTATAGATATCAATAAGTTCCAACAGCTCTCAAGTGGCACAACACCAGTAGCCGCCATGGACGTTACACTGAGCGAAATGCAACTAACTCTAATGTAACAAATATAAATTTTATAAAATATAAGTGTCGCTAAATATTACAGAAGTAATATTAAATATAATTGAAAATCAAGTAAAAATATCCTAAATGTCTAAGCTTTTACTCTTATATATAATTGTTAGTATAAAAACAATTTTTAACATATACTATTATTATTATATATATTTAATATACATTTACATTTATATAAAATATTTAAATCTTTTATTTTAAATTTAAATTTTTTATAACTATAATAAAAATTAAAAATAATTTGTATTCAGTTAAAACATTTTATTGTCTATTGTATTATAAGAAACTAAGAAATTATAAAAAAATAATTACTGAAGTTCTTTATTTAAAAATAATTTTTGTAAGAAATTTATAACAAAATATACTTATTTATTTTATGTCAAATAAAAGAGAATTTATATATATAATATTTCAATGAACTCTAAATGATATTTTCAGTGTAGATTTCATATATATTTATATATAAATAAACACATTTCTCTCAGTGTAGACATTGCACTTAGCCAGCTCAAAGTTGGTGAGCTCCAGTTGGTGGTCCCGCCCCCTGTTCCGCCCGCCTTAGCTCCACATACGAGTATCAATATCTACGAGGTATTTCTAGCTGCTCTTGTTGTTGTTATTGTTTAGCACTTTTTGCGGTCGCTGTTTGTCGTGGCTGTGTGTTGTTGTTGTTGTTCTTGTTGCTGTTTGGGTTTTATTGTCTTTCAGTGCTTGATTAGATAGCTGCCGCACACACACACACACACATCGACACACTCACACACGTACACGCAGAGCTGTGCGAGTAAAAAATGGCCATATGTGGCCAAGTTGTTCGGCATTGTGTGTGTTGTTTGCAAAGGCCCACAAAGTCCGGCTTCTTGCCTGAACTGAATATTGTTTTGTAGCTGCCTAGCGGCAGGCGCCGTGGCGAAGCTTTTGTCTATTACCTGATGTCCGTCACTGTAAATGTCCCACAGTCTGGCGTTCGTGTCTGTTGCTTATCGCGCTTTTAATATCAGAAAAAGTATTAAAAAAAAAAAGAAAAAAGAAAAATATGCATGTGTGTCCAGGTCTGTATAGCCTCTCGTAGTAGTTGTTACCTTTCGCGCCGCTATCTATGCAGATATCTTTCTCTGTCCGCCTGCATGAAGCTAGTGGCGTGAGTGTATTCGTGTGTGTGTGTGTGGCATTAAAAACATTTTCATTGTAATCAAGCGTACTTTCTTTTATTATTATTATTTGCCTCTCTCTGTCTAATGCTAACGACGCAAATTACTCAAATGTATCTGCCAGATACTTTTTATTTTCTACTGTCGTGTGCAGCTCGCTCGCTTGCTCGCTTTATTTTCTGCTCATATATTATTTATTGATCGCGATAAGCGTCACGAAGCCAATTTCAACCGTAAACCAAATGATAGAGAAACACTCCAATTCCTCTATAAACCCCCCAGCCGCAGCCGCAGCTCACCTCAACTTCACCTCACCTGCAGCTTTTGCTCAAATACATATTTCATATGGAAAACTAGGTACAGTCACCGATTCACTGATTTCTTTTTATTCCTATATGTGAACATCCGCTTTGGTGCGTGGCAGTCCGCCGTCGTCCCCCCGCCGCTACCCTCAATTAACTCACAATCAAAGGTAGCCTCCTACCTCTGGCTCTAGCCAGGTCTCTGTCTGGCCAGCTGCCAGATGTCGCTTCACTAACCAAGCCACCCCACTTGGCGAGCGTCTTGAAGACGCTCTGGGAAAGCAACTGTCGTTGCCTGCAATCGCCTGCAGCCGTTACCTTTGTTAACTTCGCCACGTGCTGCATAGGCACAAAGCGTAAAGGAAAACTCATTGCGAGGCGCACTCAATGGAACTGCAAGGCACACACCACCATAGAGACCCAGACTTGTAGGAACTTATCGCCACCTTTCGCATATGCCTTATGCTTGGCTTCGTAACGTCTTTTTGAAACCTTTGCTGCAACTGCGAGTCCATAAACCACTTATTTGAGATAATGTTGTAAAGTATTTCCAGTGCTCTAGTTCAGTAAATATTCTCTTTAGTTCGTCTTTTTTATATAGTTCATATACTCAATTTTCCTTAAGATATTTTTGCATAAAATCCACAAGTTAAAAATTAAAAAAAAAAAAAAAATGGGTACATTCTAGGTATTATATATTATATGTATATGTATATAGGTTAGCCCTAATTAGAGAGGGCAAGTGCTTAAGGAAGATTAAATGCACGTATCTATCCAACACCTTTCAAGATCTATATATTTATTTTTGCATTAATTGTT